TTCCCATACAATTAATATGAATACCAACATATCGAGATCAAAACCTATAGCCTCAAATAACTGATTTAATTTTTTTATATGTGAACTGTATTAACAGTTACGTTCGATTCTCTCTAAGGATGACTTTCAAATCTGCAGATGCAAATCTTAAAAAAAGATTTGAATTCCAAAACTCGAGATTTGGTGTCTTTTATTATTAATATTCGAATATTTCATATCGTAAAAGAAGGAATCACCAAAGGTTTTCACTTAGAGTTTTGGAAAGGTTAATGTTATTGATCCATTAGAAAATTAATGTAATTGTTGAAATTTTAATCACTAAATGTACCCTGTGGTGGCACTGAGCGCGGTGCTTTCAGTGAAATCTACCAAATTTCTCGCTTAAGTAATCTGTGCTCTGTGCTTTCTCGAAAATTCTTGAAACGACATTGCAAAACATTGCGATCTGGACTTATTACTAGTAGTTCTTGGTTGCTTCTAAGAACTTATCATTCTGCTGAGGATGTCTTCCTGTAACACTTGTCGAAATATTTCCTATTTTCCAAACTGAACCATCATTCACTGTTTCTTCACCATTTTGAAATTCTTTACTTTGGATACTTCCTTGTTCTCGAGTTTTGTTTTGTTGCTTTTCGCTACTCTCTTGTGCTTGACTACTGCCCTTAATTAAGGTGAAATTATATGGGCAGGGCATTGCGGTCAGAAAGCTTGGGACTATTCTCTCTTTGTTTCCGAAGCTACATTTCTCCATTAAGTTTCTTTCCATACTCCCATATTGTTTCTATCATTCTGTTTGTTCTCCATTTTAAAAATTTTAATTTTTTTCCATTGGTATGCTGGGAAAAGAATGGCTTTTGTTTTTCTCAACCCTTGAAACAGTACGTTAAACTGCTTATTCAGGTCTTGAATTCAGCTGGAGGACACCTAAGCTATTTATTTCTTAGTTTTCTGAATGAAATTTAAGTCCAGGGGGAGCTCCAAATAAGATGAGACCCAATATTTTATTTTTTTATTTAACTATTTATTGTGAATTTAATAATTTATTAAATTTTATTTATTATAAATAAAATTAAAATCCAATGAGATATAAAGATATAATATATCTCATTGGATTTTAATTTATTTTAATCATTAGTCATAATATTTTTTATTATTATGACTTTTTTTACCCTTCTTCCTGATGGCCTTTAGAGCTCTTGCACTTCCAATTTTAGAAATTAAAAATTTTTAGATTAATTTACCTTTGGAAGGCCCACCAGTGGCCATGTGTTAAAGTTGCTAAACACTGGTAGTTCAACTTTGGTTTGATACCTGGTGAATGAACTGGCTCTGTAGGCATATTTTTGCTTTTCCCATGTGTAATGTGTATATGAGTCAATTTTCCTTAAAGCGTCCTTCATGAAGGTATTCCTCCACTTAGCAAGTAACCTTCGCATAATTGGCATAATCGAATAAATCAATCAGTAATTACTTTTGAAAATTTTTATTGTAGGAATTATGCATGTAGATTTCCTGTGCAGTGGTTAACTAGAATAATTTTTTATTTCATATGCATTTTTTCAATCTACACTTGTATATATGTGTGTTGTTTTTTTTTTTTTTTTTTTTTTTTTTTTTTTTTTTTTTGTCAACTTTATGTATAGAAATCTATTTTTATATCATTGAATATGTAGAATTACTTGCTTATACTAAAACAAGGGATTTTTTATTTCTGTCTTTCTTAACTGTTTATTTTTAGTCTTTACATTAGTGTATTAATCCTAGTTATTTTCACGTCTACTTATTCAGACTTTTATGGGGTGTTTAAAAATATCTGGCAAAAAGTAAAGACAGGTTGAAGAGATCTAAATAAAGAGATTTTGTAATAAAATATTTGTGTGTAAATGGGATGTTGAGATGTTACTGGGTGCTGTTTTATCTGCAGTCAAAGATGTTCTAATAATGTAAATCGTCAATTCCCATACAAATTTTGAGTGTCATATATAGCTACATGAAGGTGAAACTTGCTGACATGCATTTTATCTATGGCAGTTTGGTTAAAATGGAGCAGTTATTGATAGGAAGTTCAAAGAACAATTCTCAAATATGTCCTCTTAGCTGCTGCTCTGCTTTCTTCTGTAGCTCTATGTATAAAATGCATGTCGATGATATCTGCATTCGTGTAGTAATGTATATTGCTCAAAACTGGCTCAGGAAACAACACTTTACACCAGCAGAATATTTTTATCTGTTGCTTCAATAGTGCCATGTACCACCTCAGTGCAACATTCCTGCAGACACATTCTGTTATAAAATCTACTTATTTTGGTCACTTCTACCTGCCTTTCTATTTTTGTTTGATAGTTTTTTACCACCTTGTATACTGCACACGCAAGTTTGTTACAAACATTTATAGTGATTCAATGCAAAATGGAAACAACAGGGACAAAGCCCCTTCGAACTAAAAAAAGAAACAGTTCTGTATCTCTTGTTCTGGTGGGCTGATTGATGATACTCAACTTGCATTTCCCATGTCTCAAAAGCGCGACTTAGGATATGTATTAGATTTATGTATAGCGTAACAATATAGCTGTACATAAATTTAATACATATCATAGATTTGATCTAATACATACATAGATTGTGTCAATATACCTAATATAGGTATTTTGACACAAAATCGGACTTTGTCTGAAATGACATGCCATTTTTTTTTCCATATTTCGATTCTATGACTCAAATTATACCAAATTGCCAAATTTTGTAAAATTGCACAAGTAAATTTTTAAAAAGAAAGCTCTCAAAATTGTAACTCTTCAGTGTTAATTGAATTTGATATATATTTATTATTCTCTCTCTCTCTCTCTCTCTTTTTTTTTTTTTTTTTTTTTCAAAACTTAGTTGATTCCTTCTTCCAGAATTCGAAATTTAGGCTTAATCCAAATACAATTCACTTATTTTTGACTTATTTTTAAAATTTGTATTTTTTATAAATTTTTCAAAAAACTGTTTGTGTTATAACCTATAAAATGTTTCACATCGTCTTAAAGTAGATGTATTTCTAGGCACATCTGCAAAAAAAATTAGAGTTTTTTATTCAAAATATTCAAAGATATACATGAATTTACATATTGAAGCATTTTGAAATTTAGCATCTTTGTTTTTTATGAGCGATAATAACGTCAAATGTGATTTATTCACTTTGTTAAAATTATTTGAAAGTATGAATGATGACCTTTTTCTGTTCGTCTATGATGAAAATAGGAAAATTTAAGTATTTTGCTATAAATTAAGAAGTTTGCCAAGTAAATTATTCTTGGTGAAAGCTGAAAAAAAATACACCAAGATTTTGAATTTCTCCATAAATTTTGTGCCAAATTTTACAAAATTTAATATTTTGAGTTGTAGAATTGAAATATGGAAAAAAAATTGGCTTGCCATTTCAGGTAAAGTCCAATTTGTGTGTCAAAATACCTACATTAGAATGGTGCTATATATAAATCTAATATATATCCTAAGTCACGCTTTCCAGACATGAAAAACGCAATTTGAATTTTGTCAATTGGCCCAGTGGAACAGGAGATATATAACTGTCCCCCCTTTTTTTTCGTCAGTGTATGTCAGCTTCTTATACATATATATTCTTCTGAATTAATTGTAGGCAATTGATACGTATTTAGATAAATGTAGAAAAAAAAAAGAAAATAAAAATAAGTTAATATATAAATTTTGTAAAAATACTATTTTAAAATTTGAAAAACTTGTAATTATAAAATTATTATTCGAAATGCTGTTAATTACAAAAGGAAGCGTTTTCAAGATGTGTCTTTAAATAATTTGAGGTATATTTAGATTTAAAATTAGGTGCGATTCAATATCTGACTTATGCTCGCTTTATGGAAGAGTTAAGTATGTTTCAGAGGACATTGACACAGTACTGCAATTGAAGAATACGTTTTTTCTTGGGATAGCTAAGTAAAAAATATTTAAAAACTAAACATTTTAAGACTATTAAAAAAATTCTAATTCAAAATATTGAACGAGAAATGTTTATCTTGGAAATAAATGCTTGTAGGCTCTGTAATTGTATCAGTTTAACTCATTATTCATGATTTTGGTACTTATGTATGAACGTAATCACCTTGCCACCATTTGACAATTTTTTCAAATAAAAAAAGTAAAAGTTACTTATTGGGTGCAAGTTGGTGGTTTTCGTGAAATGTTTTTAGAAAGATTCCCCAAACATCGATATTTGTCTCAAGGTGGAAGTCATTATCTACATATAAAAAGAAAACTTACTTTAGCAATTTAAAATATAAATTTCAAGTATTAAATAAGGATTGTAAGATACATTAAAAGAAGTAGAACACTTGCATTTGTTACCAAATCTTTCTTTTTTTTTTTTTTTTTTTTTTTTTTGGCGCTGTTTTACTCAAGTACACCATGATTTATTTTTGCTTTAAAAAACATCATAAAATTTCAGAAACTTCGCATTGCGCAAATATTGTCAGCTCTAGTATCTATGAAACATATCTTCTTGTTCCATTTAGAGATTCTGCTGCAAAATTCTGTATTAGTGCAGAAATTTTACTGCAGTTTCTAACATTTTTTTTTTTTCCTGGTAAATTCCACAAGTGTATATTTTAATATTAATTTACAGCAAAAAATATCATGATTTGTGTATAAAACCTGTTGAAATTTGGAACAACTGTTGAAAGATTGTTATAAGTATGTTTACCTGAAATGCGCATGGTTGCCAGAGTTTGGTGACTTCTGCTAAAGTGGTTGTGATTAAATGTTGTGAGTGCCATTAATTTTTTACACGCAAGTGATTGTTTTATTTGAATTCATATCGCAATTCAATGTATCAGTTGATATAACTTGCATGGTATTTGAAAGCACAGCATTGTGTCATATTTCTGTAAATTAAGTTTTTTTTTTTTTTTTTTTTTAAATTCCTAAACTTAAAAAGTGTGTTTTAATTTTTGCTATTTCTTATGTATTTTTTCTTTCATGTGCAGGATGCTCCTAAACAGCCACAGACAAAATTTGTGTACCTATCAGATAGCGAATCTAATGGATCTTCTATTATAACTACTTTTGTGGATAGCCAACCAACAGATCCTAGTTGGAAGGAACATAGTCGCCATCTGAATAAACTTTCAACTCGGAATAAACGTGTTCCACCAAGTAAACCTGCTGTTCGAGATAAACGCATTCCACAGAATAAACCCGTTTTTCAAGATAAAGGTATTCCAGAAAATGAAGATACTTCTGAAAATGAAAACACTAAACATGCAGTCAATTCTGAAAATGAAGATGCTAACTGTACAGATAATTCTGAAAACAAAAATACTACCCATGCTGTTGCTACTAGAATCAAAACTGCTACTCAGCCTAAACTTGTTGTTCAAATTTGTGAAACTAGACAAAGGCCAGTTAAAAAGAGAAAACTTTATCAACCATCTAAGCATCCAGTAGCTATATCTTATCAGCTAGGTAGTAAACAAGTCAATAAGAAAAGTACTATTCCTAACAGTTTAATTCCTTCATTTTTTAATTCTTTAGCAAGGTAAGACTTTAATATTGCTAATGCAGTATTTTGATAAAATCTTAGAATGCCATATTTATATATATTTGTTTAATAAGAATTGTTATGAGCACTGTAATTGATTAAAAACAAATGTATTCTAATTAATATTTTACGAAGTTTTCAAATTTTGGTGTATAAAATTTTGATGCTGAAAATTTGGCAATATTTTATTTTTTTCAAATGATAACAGATTTAATCCTTTGCACCAGGAATTCTCAACCAGGGAGAATTGTCTCCTGGAGGGAATTTCATAGTTTTAGTGAAGAATGTACTCAATTTTTTTTAGTTATTAAGTTCTTAATTTTAGTTTTACATTAAAAAAACTACTTTTATTCAAGCTTTGGTATTATCAATATTTTCTATGCTTTTTTTTAGTCCAAAGGGATTTGAATCCCAAAGGACTATTAGTTTCGTTTTGGCATTTTGCGTCGGACTCATAAATGTCGGTTCACTTTTCAAACTGTTGCCACAAAATGTCAGAGTCCTGCATTATATTTGAAGAAATTAAATAATGAAAAATCTGCATAAATGTATGTATATTTCTCGTATTGTGATAAAACAACGGTACTCCTTTGGACGTAATTTAAAATCTGAAACATTTCAGATTTTTTTTTTTTTTTTTAATTTTTAAAAACATTAAAGAATCATCTAACTCTAAATAAACGTGTTTACTTAACTTTCAAGTTTTGAAAAAGAGGGGGATAAACTGTCGATGGGGAAAATGGTGCATAGGGTGAAAAAGGATGAAAACCTCTTCCTTAAACAGTACTGCATAAAAGCTAAATGTATTATTTTGTACATGGTGGCCAAAATAAAGCAGACGCAAAAAATGTGTATAATTCTGACACTATCCTTATTAATGAACACAAGAATTATTCTTTGCTATACAGTTTGTTTTGTGCTGTTTTTGTCACTAAAGGACAATTCACAACAATACGATGATGCATTAGTGCATAAAGCTGTAACCGATTAGTAATGAGTTCAGAGGCAGTATTCTCTGGATGACCGGAGATATACAAGTTTACTCAGCTTCATATTTTGCTGCTTGCCTTGTCAGTTTCAGATATCTCTTAAAAAATGTCTGGCTTTTACTACATTTTTTAAATGAGTATGCTTTTAAAATTCTTCTTAGCAAAATATGAAATCAAGTGGAATAATCTTAATAAAAATATCAGATGTTAATTAAAAATGTACATTAATACAATAATTAAATATACTATTTAAAAGAAAATTCTCAAATTTATAAAGAGTAATTAATCATAAGTATGAACCATAAATGAGATATGGTTGATAATAATATAAAATAGTAGACTGTTGTGAGAAAATAGTGATAAAATCCTGGATTTTGAATTTTACTTAAAATCGATCCCAATTTAAGATTGTTTTTACAGCATCGTCTTGCCTAATGGGTAAAGTGCTGCCCTCTGCTGCCAAAGATTGTCAGTTCAAGTCTCACAAGGAATGGTGTTGGTATTGTTATGAATTTTGCGTGCATACAGATAATTTTAAAGAAATTATATATGCAATTGTTGTATTTTTCTGTATAATGTAAGATGAAAATCTAGAGAAAAGGTGCTGTGCCGGAAAAATAAGAATATAGGGGCAAGTCTATTTAACATTGAGTAAATAGCTATCTCGCTAATTCGGCAAGAAATTGCCAAATTTGGCGACATTTTGGTCTGGTTCCTGTATCACCATAATAGGTATTGTAATTGATTAACTGTAATTGATTTGAGATGCAACTGTAGCTGTACCCAGTCTCATATGCCTTCCAATAAATTCAGGAACTACTAGAAATTTCTCATCAGCCGATGAAAACTAAAGGGTGTCCCAAAAATAACACAGGATTTGAATTCAATATAAAAGAGAGTTTTTAATCTTTAGATGTTTATTTTTTAAGTGAATCATAAAGTACATAGGATAGAGTTATTTATGGAATAACACATCGGGCAAAAGTCATCCACGGCTTTGTTGGCACATACACACCCTTTTGTCGAAATTTTTCGTAACCTTTCTGCATAATTGCGGCTGAATTTCGTTGATGCAGTGTTTAATTTCCTCTTGTAATGCATGTGGGCTTGTGGGATTGTTAGAATGAACCTTTGACTTCAAATATTTCCATAAGAAAAAATCTAATGGTGTTAAATCACATGATCTAGGGAGCCAATTCTGATCGCCGAAACGAGAGATTATACGATCAGGAAATGTCTTCTGTTGTAATTGAATTGTTTCATTGGCTGTATGGCATGTGGCACCGTCTTGTTGAAACCACATATTGGCCACATCAGTATCATCCAATTTTGGCAGAAAGAACTGTGTTATCATGTCGCTGCTTGACCACCCTGATTCTCAAAAAAATATGGTCCGATGATGCCCTCCTGTCCCAAAATCCTGCCCCCCCACCAAAAAAAAAGCAGTGACACGTTGTGAGTGCATTTGTTTTTCGCTAATCACACGTGGGTTCTTCGAACCCCACACACGACAATTTTGGTGATTAACAAAGCCATCGAAGGTGAAAATGTGCTTCATCGCTTAGGATTATTTTGCTCGAAAAACCAGCATCCACTTTTTGATGATTAATAATCCATTCCATGAACTCACTTCGCTGTTCATGGTCAATAGGCTTCACTTGTGTTAATTCAATTTTGTAAGCATGAAGACACAGTTTGTTTGTGAGTATGCGCTGTAGAGAGCTTCTTGAAATTTGCAATTCTTGTCCATGACGCCAAATTGATGTTCCTGGGTTTTCACCAACACTCTCACGCACTGCTTCAATATTGACATTTAAACGGCTTTTTTTTTGGACGACTGGTGTGTTTAGCGTCTCCAATTGATCCAGTCAGAATTTTTTACTTAATCTTTTCACAGTTGACGAGGTTAAAACACTATTTTTACCATATTTTTTATAAAATTTTTGAACTACGGCCGCCAAACTTTCATTATTTAAAAAATATTGTTCAATAATGAAAACAGTTGTTGTACTGTATAACGCTCCATTTTTACTAACCCTAAACTCTCAGCTTTCAAACTGTTCTTTTTACAGGGTTGGCAACAGCTTAATGCAAAAATGGTGCCAAATTCAAATCTTGCGTTAATTTCGGGACACCCTTTAGTAAGCAGGAGAGAGCGTCTGCTGTCAGTTGTTGTTGGGAATTGTTAGTGCAGCAAGAGTTTTGAGTACTGAGATATCTCTGGGTTAGCTTCCTCTTTAGATGCACTTTGCATTGCATTGTCTTTAATGTTTTTAGTAGTTTGAAGTGTAACTACTCATTGTACTCTGTCATACTATGAACAGCTGTTTGAGTATTTTTTTAGAAAGTTCCAGAACTCTGAAGTGTTACTTTTGATAAAATAAATTTTATCTACTTATCATCAGACCTGTATGTATTAATGTATTACAAACTCACACACACTCAGCAGTTTTTGGTGTCAGAAGTGGAATTGAATGTCAGTGACAAGAGCTATGGAGAAGCAATTAAGGCAGTTGGTGGTAGCCTTTGCTGCATTCAAAGAAGAGAAGAAATCTATTAATGAAAAGATGAAAGCTCTTCAAGAAAAGGTTGAAGCAGATCAAGAGGAAATGAAAGAGGAATTACCTGCATAACCAAAAATAAATTCAAGGCTAATAGACAGGCAGAGTAAACATGTTTGAAGACAAAGTTTGAGACATTCAAGAAAGAGTTTCTGTAGTGGAACAACAAATCAAAGAAGGAGTTCCTTCTATCAAACAACAAATTGATGACAGGCTTTCTGCGGTCACCAAAGAAGTCCATACCTTAAAGACATTCATAACGATGGCAGGAAGCAATTCTGATGGTTTTAAAGCTTTACCCATGCTTTCTCTTCACTTTTTAAAGCTATCCACATATGATGGTTGACCTCCTGCTAAGTTTATAAGACACAATTTTCTATAGTGGCAGATGCAAATGGTGGAATTCTCAAACTAAGGCCTGTCATCTCTCCACTTCTCTTAGAGCAGATGCTGTGGATTTTCTTCAAACTCTGTCCCAAAACCAGAGGCTGGACTTCAAAACTCTATCTAACATGTTGGAGCTGCACTTTGCCAAGAAATGCTTAAAAGACTGTAGCAGGCTTCAGTTAAAATCTTGCCAAGAGAAGCATACGGAGACTTTGCAGGAGCACTCCTTAGATGTTGCAAGGCTGTTTCATCTGGTGTTTTTTTTTTTTTTTTTTTTTTTTTTTTTTTTTTTTGGGTCTGCTCAACAGAAACAAGGAAAATACTGCCCCTGCAGTACTTCATTGATGGCATCCGGTATCCTGAGATATCTAAGGCCCTGAGACTGGTGGATATTAAAGATTTAAAATTCACTTTAGGCTATGGAATTCGAGGCAGCCCAGCAAGCAACTTGTAGAGACCGCCACTTACTCAGAGCTGCTGAAGTTCAGGAGCCATAGAATCAAGTGATTGCTGATCTAGACGACTTAACCAGTCAAGTCAGTGCCTTGAGACAGAATAGGAGTGACAAGAAACTGATCCTAAAATGCTGGAAATGCAGTGCTAAAGCCACATAGAAGGAACTGCAATACACCCCACAGAAAATAATACCACTCCCCAGCAAGAATGTGAGGAAGAAATTAGTGACCATCGAATGTAGCAGAGGCTGCCAGATAATGAGAAGCCCCATTTTAAAAACACTTCAGATTTCTGCTGTGGATGCCGACAGTAATGGACTTCTCATCATGCAACATATCAATGGAGTGCCCTGCAATATGACCATCGATATAGGAGCTAATGTTACTATCATCCAGAAAGATTTGGCTCAACATTTGGAAGGTAAACTCATCTGGATGGTCCCATGTGTTGAAACTGAATAGCCAGGCCAAAGATGCATGATCTGTGCAGAGCTGGAATTTTCTCCCATAGAGATAATAGTGGAAATGTTTTGCAGCTTTAACTATGGTGAGCAACTCTTTTCTGGTGACACCTTAATTCCTCTCTGGTTTAGAAAAACACTTGC